TTTTTTTAGATATTATTTAACATAAAGTATTTTTTTTTTTTGTTTTGGCCAGCCATACTTAGTAAGCCAAGTTGCTGAGACATTTTTTCCCCTTCCTCAACATATATTGAACCACTTTTCATAGATTCTTCAATTAGTAAGATTAAATTAAGTGCACTTGACTATCAGCTAAGCACTAAACGTTGATGGGATATTGAACAAAAGGCTAAAATGAATGTAAAAAATGGAGTAGAAAATTAATAAAAAAATTCTTCTATCTAATTTTTCAGAAAAAAAAAGATTTCTTTTTAATGGTGTTGACCAGTAAAAAAAATAAGTTGAAAAATACAGTGATTTTTTGTCATCGTTCATCTATCGTTCGTTTCTTCTTCACAAAAAATTGCAACTGTCCTTATGACAGTCTGCAAATTACCGATGTTGTCTGAGAAAGAAGGAAAAAAAATGACTATCAAAAAAAGTACTTGCAATTGGTCTTTTTTTTCGGTTACCTTTGTATTTAGATCTTTTTCCTTTGCTTTCGTTTATCACTGATCTTTTCTTGTGCTTTTTTTTTTTTTTTTCTTGAAATACAAATCAAATTAAACATTGATCAATTGCTTTTGTTGTTGTTTTTTTTTCTTCTTTTACTTTTTACGCTATTTGCAGTTTGATCAGCAGAGAAACTGTCTTTTTTATCTTCTAGAAAAACAAATTACAGGTAAAAAAGAAAGAACATTATTATAATCAATTTGATGTACTGTTTGGTAGCGATAATGGTGTTAAAAAAAAATTTAAATATGAAATTTAAATTTATTACAATGAAAATCAGATTTGTTATAGTTGAGAACAAAAATGGAGTGTCAGGTGGACGGATGGGGGGGAGGACGACGAGGAGTAACAGTGGGGATAAGAAATTTAAAAAAAAAAAAAATAAGAAGAAGCTCAGAAAATGGTATCAAAAATGGTTTTGCTGCAAAACAGAAAATGATAGTTGATGTCTTTTTTTTTTTCAACTCATCTTATTACAATAAATTTATTATCCTCTGTAAAATCTTAGTTTAGCAATTCTTTTTTTTTTCTAAACGATACAGCTATCAGTATTGGCATCAAAAAAGCATATCTTTAGATACAGGTTGATTCTGTTTTTTTTTTTCCTTATTTTCGTCATTTACCTTCGGTTTTTGGCCACAGACGTATCGCTTTTTCTGTCTTACCGTTTGCAGATACAATTCAGTATTATGGGACCGAGTGGAAGGGAAGCAGAGCAATAATTATTTTTGAGCAATTCCACGCATTATAAAAGCGATCTTTCTCCTCTCAAATAATCAAAATTTTTACCTGTTGTCAAATATTGTTGAAAAACTGTTTTTTTTTTGCTAATATTTGTTAATTTTTGTTGATGCTGAACAGTTTCTCTCAATTGCAGCTGATTCCACTGGACAATTTTGGATTTAGTTAGTTGACCAGAGAAAAAGCTAAACAATTTATAACTGCTTACCTTATTGTAACGACGGTTATCATTTGTACAGCAAATTTTCATTTTTCTATTAAATTTTTCTTTTTTAATTTTTTTTTTTTTTTTGTATAATTATTCATCTTTTTTCACATGTTTTTTTTTTTCTTTTTCTAATGGTAGTGTAATTCTGTGCTAGCCTTTTATTTTTCTTCTAAATAAAAATTCTTCTGCTTAATACAGCCTTTTTTGTTGTTGAACAATTTAATAATTTATTGCTGCTTTGCAAATAATATTGTTTCTGTTTTGAAGGAGAAGAAAAGAGCAAAATAGGAAAAAATGGGGAAATGAAATTGGTGACCAAATAAGGACAAAAAAGAAGCTAATTTTTTTTTTTTTTATGTGCGTGTAAACTGCCGGAAATAATTTTTTTTTTTCAATTTGAAATTTCTAGATAATTATTTTGTATCATAAATTTGCTATTTTACATTTTTTGGTCTTCTCTTTTTTGTCATCTTATTCAGGATTAGAAAATATTTGTTCTGTTTCTTATATGGATTATTCGATCTATATCAGGGCAAAAGTTACAGCAGTTACTAAGCATTCCGTCCATCAGCACCATTTCCCATGTTTCCTTCCGCCTTTTTCCTGGCCCTTAGTGGTGCTTCCCACGTTTTCCGCAAACTGTTCCATATACTTTACCACAGATTACTGCAGCCAACAACTGCAACCCATTTTATATCTAATATTTTTAAAG